GCAGATCGTCCAGGCGGCCTAGCAGCGCCATGGCGGCCACGCCCTTCGCCCGTGCCCCGCAGCATTATCTGCAGCCAACGGGGCGCGAGGGCGGATTCTTGTCCCCGCTACCCAGCTGACATGTCCTTGGCTGCGCTGCTCCGTGCGGGCCGCACTCAGAGGCGACTCTCCTCCAGGGGGGCTGCTGGTGAGGAGGGGGCCATGGTTGGAGGCGGGGCTGGGGCGACGGCGCGCGTGCGCACAGAGAGAGCTCCCTAGTGCCGCCTCTGGCACCCGTGCCATACGTTCGCCACCATTGAACCAGACATTAAACTAGGAGAGGGGGGATCAACCTATTCCCCAACCTGGAATTAAGGAGAAACTTCCTAACAGTGAGAACAGTTAACCAGTGGAACAGCTTGCCACCAGAAGTTGTGAATGCTCCAACACTGGAAGTTTTCAAGAAGAGACTGGACAGCCATTTGTCTGAAATGGGATAGCGTTTCCTGCTTGAGCAGGGGGTTGGACTAGAAGACCTCCAAGGTCCCTTCCAGCTCTGCTCTGATTGATTGAGTATATCCTGCCTGTTTCTTCCTCCTTGACTCCCATCCAATGCCTTTTTCTCTTCCTACCCCCAGCGACCGCCTACATGTTCCAGCGGCAGCTCTCGCCCACCCCCGGCTACCCCAGCCAATACCAGCTTTACGCCATGGAGAACACGCGGCAGACCATCCTCAACGACTACATCACCTCCCAGCAGATGCAGGTCAACTTGCGGCCGGACATTGCGCGAGGACTGTCCCCACGGGAGCAGACCTTGGCTCTTCCTTACGCAGGTGCCCGAGGTAGGGTTCCTTGGCTCAAACCAGGTTAATCTAGAACTCTGTTCGTAGAATCCCCTTGTTCAGAAGTCCCCAACCTTTTGGGCTCCATCAGGGACCGGTTCCGTGGAGCGAGCTTTTTCCGCGGACCGGAGGATGCGTGGTTTGGTGTGTTGCCTGCATCCCACAAGTGGGGCTTTGCATGTTTGTGTGGACCGGTTGCTGGCATGCCACGGCCCGGTACTGGTCCACTGACCGGGAGTTGGGGACCCCTGCCTTAGGGGTTCTGCCTCAAAACACCTGGAAGGGGAACCAGTGGGGGTCTTCAGGCAGGCTCCAAGAAGGCTCCAGACCCATTTGCACCACTCAGGTGATCCTGAGGACACAGGTAAACCTCCAAGTGGCCTCAACAACTCTCTAGAACAGGGCTTTTCAACCCGTGGTAGGGGTACCACCTGTGGTACATTGGCACCTGGCAGGTGGTACGTGACCATCCTAGAAAAGTGGTAGCGGGGGAGGGGAATGAGCTGAACCGGTGGCAGCACCGCACAAGCCTGAGCGAGAGACGGCTGGAGCTGCAGGGCTGTCAGGGCTCAGAGGAAGCGCCAGGATCAGTGCCGCTTTCCAGCTGATCGGCGCTTCTTCGGGGCTGTCAGGGCTCAGTGGAAGCGCCAGGATCAGCGCCAGGCTCCAACTGGAGCTCAGCACTGATCCTGGTGCTTCTGCTGAGCCCAGAAGAAGCACCGATCAGCTGGAATGTTGCAGCATCTCCAGGGTCTTGTGATTTACATTCAGATGCTTGGCAACCGATTCATATTTATGACGGTCACAGTGTCCCAGGGTCATGTGAAGCGACCAAAACCTGCTGCAACCACCCAGCAGATGGGGGGGGGGATAAAAACCAAACACCCCCCCACTCCACCCCCGCTGTCAATCCTCAACAGAAATGCTCACAACAATGAAAACCTCGGACAGGAGGAAGAGCGCGGCCGGGCGGGCAGGCAGGTGTCTTGCTCGGCTGTGCCTTGGGGGGTACTTTTTTCAGTGCCATTGTAACTTCGAACAGTCACTAAGAGAACTGTTGTAAGTCGAGGACTGCCTGTACTTTATCACTTTTTTCCTTTTTGGGGGGGGTCATCAGTTTTTTGACCCCTTGCTAGGCGACTGGTGGTACTCTGATGTTGCCATATCCTAAAAGCGGTACAATGAGTGAAAAGGTTGAAAAGCCCTGATCTAAAACGGGTTCCCAACCGGGGGTGCTCGCACCCCCTAGAGGTATGAGACGATATTCCAGGGGGTACGAAAACCTGGGCTTAGAAGTTTCAGAATTATAGTGTACGTGCATAATTCATTGCCGTCATTTCCAATTTTTGTAGGGATTCGAGGGCTGTGAGAATATATCAGAAGCGTTCTAGGGGCGCGGGGTATAGAAAAGGTTGGGAACCGCTGCTCTAAAAGAATGCAAATGACCGGCTTTCTGCAAGGAGTATAAATCCTTCCATTCCCCACCATCCCAGTCAGAGCTGAAGAAGCTTCTGGGATGGGAAGCGAAACGTCTTCAAAGAAAAACAAAGGAAGTCCAGTTGCCTCCTAAAAAAGCATCTTTGGGACAACCCTGACCTGGATGACTGAGAATCTACACAGTCAGGGTCATTGGAAAATGATCTGGAAAGTGGGGGATTGCGCGGGACAGCTGACGGCCGTTGCTGTCTCCGGTCGGCTGTGCGGTTGATTTGGATTCTGAGGGGTTCGTAGGCCGGTTGTAGGTCGATGTGTCTTGTTTTGTTTCGGTCTCATCTGTATTGGTATTTCTCCGTTCCTCTTTCGACAAGGAATCATCGACCTGAACAGCATGGCGCCCACCATCTTGGTGCCCCACCCCGGAGGGCCGAGTACGCCCCCGATGGAGAGGATCACCTACATTCCGGGCACTCAGCTGGCGTTCCCCACCAGGCCTTACAACCCACCTTCCATGTCTCCAGGTAAGGCTCAGAAGGAGGGGGGGGCACTAAGTGATGGAGGTGCCGAGTTCAGGTCCAAGGCGCTGAGGGGATTTGGAAGGGGGGGTGGCAGACATCCACCCACCTCCCATTTCTACTTCTGATCTAAAGCTGGGCACATCTGCCCAGAACATCTGAAATGCTTTCTCTTTTTTTTTCTTTTTGAATTTTTTTAATTGATTTTCTAATTTCACATTTAAATATTTGAAAAGCAACATGGCGGCTGAGTTAGTCCATAATTCAATAACATACAAATATCTTTAGGAAAGATCTCAAACGATTACATTAAATGTTTCCTCTCTTTTCCCCTTGGTATTTACTGTCTCACGTTTTGTTGTTGTTAGTTGCGAAGTCGTGTCCGACCCATCGCAACCCCATGGACAACGTTCCTCCAGGTCTTCCTGTCCTCTACCATCTTCTGGAGTCCATTTAAGCTCACGCCTCCTGCTCCAGTGACTCCATCCAGCCCCCTCCTTCTCTGTCGTCCACGTCTTCTTTTGCCCTCCATCTTTCCCAGCATTAGGCTCTTCTCCAGTGAGTCCTTCCTTCTCATTAGGTGGCCAAAGGACTTGAGTTTCAACTTCACGATCTGGCCTTCTAAAGAGCAGTCAGGGTTGATCTCCTCCAGGACTGACCGGTTGGATCGCCTTGCAGTCCAGGGGACTCGCAGGAGTCTTCTCCAGCACCAGGGTTCAAAGGCCTCCATTCTTTGGCGCTCAGCCTCTCTTACGGTCCAACTTTCACAGCCATACATTGCAACTGGGAAAACCATGGCCTTGACTATACGCACTTTTGTTGGCAGGGCGACGTCTCTGCTTTTTAGTATGCTGTCTAGATTTGCCATAGCTTTCCTCCCCAGGAGCCAGCGTCTTCTAATTTCTTGGCTGCAGTTTAAATTAATACAATTCTTACTATATCGATTAAATAAAAAATAACTGTCTTGCATTTATCGATAATTTTTGTTTACACCTATCCTAGTTGTTTTAACGTTCAATCTTTTTAGACAAATCAATGTCCCGGTTAGTTTTTCCCAGTTTTTAGATTCCCCTTAATATTTTAATTGAACGTTTAGTATTTACAATGTCCGAGTTTTAATTAATCCCAATTCCCTTGATCACAATTCACCACCGGATCTAACGTTCAGGATGCTTTCTCTTGATTTCAGCTTGGCTGCCAATTATGTGTGTATCACAGGTGGTCCTCGACTTACGACGGATCACTTAGCAACCGTTGGAAGAGGCAGTAGACCCTGAAAAAGTGTACAGGCCTGCCTTGACTTAACAATCGTTCGTTCTGTGACTGTTCAAAGATATGACGGTCCTGGGAAAAACGTGATTTATGAATCACAGGTTAAGTTTTTCACACTTAGCGACTCTTGCCGCATTCCCCCTGGTCACGTGATAAAAATTCAGACGCCTCACAACTGGTTCACATTTATGACGGTGGCAGAGTCCCAGGGGTGCTACGTGATCCCCTTTTGCCTCCTTCAGACAAGCAAATTCAGTAGTGGAAGCCGTGTTCATTTAACAGCCGCGATACTTACTTAACGACTGCCATGATTCACTTCACAACTGCGGTGAGCGAGGCTGTAAAATGAGGCTAAATTCGTTTGACAGCTGTCTCCGCTTAGCAACAGAAACGTTGTGGTTCTGAAGTTGAGGACTACCGGTAATCCACCTGCCCGGCTTCTCTAAAAGCCCCGTGTCTCTTCTCTTTTGATCCGCAGGGCACCCGTCTCACCTGCCGGCCTCCGTGGTTGCCAGTGCAGAGAGGGAGAGGGAGAAAGAACGAGAGCGAGAACGAGAGCGGGAGAGAATCTCGTCCACCCCCACGGACCTCTACCTTCGCCCAGGTAAGCTCCGGCTGCCTCTTTGGGCTCTGTCACCTAGAACAGAACGGAACGGAATAGAATATGGAATGGAACGGAATAGAATAGAATAGAATGAAATAAAATATAGAATGGAATACAGTGGAATGGAATGGAATAGAACAGAACAGAACAGAACAGAATATGGAATGGAGAACAAGGAATACCAATAGAATAGAATAGAATAGAATAGAATAGAATAGAATAGAATAGAATAGAATAGAATAGAGTTGGAATTGGAATTGCAATTGAAATTGAAATTGGAATTGGAATTGAAATTGAAATTGAAATTGAAATTGAAATTGAAATTGAATAGAACAGAATATGGAATGAAATGGAATGGCGAACAAGGAATACCAATAGAATAGAATACAATAGAATACAATAGAATAGAGTTGAAATTGAAATTGGAATTGGAATAGAATAGAACAGAATATGGAATGGAATGGAATGGAGAACAAGGAATACCAATAGAATAGAATAGAATAGAATAGAATAGAATAGAATAGAATAGAATAGAATAGAATAGAATAGAATAGAATAGAATAGAATAGGAAATGAAAATGGAAAATGGAAAATGGAAAATGGAAAATGGGATAGGACAGAAATTGGAATGGAATAGAATAAGAATAGAATTAGAGTTAGAATTAGAATGGAACAAGAACAGAACATGAAGGAATGGAATGGAATTGTAATGGAACAGAACAGAACAGAACAGGAATAGAATAGAACAGAACAGAATAGGAACAGAATGGAATGGAATAGAATTCTTTATTGGCCAGGTGTGATTGGACACACAAGGAATTTGTCTCCCGTGCAGAAGCTCTCAGTGTACATACAAGCGATCAATCATGAGCACAATCCTAAAATATAATCATCATAAATCCTAAAATACAACACCCATTGATAGTCATAAGATAAAAGCAATCAACATAAACCATAAGATACAAGCAACAGATTTATAACAACCAGTGAAGGAAATAGGCAATAGGAAAGATGAGAAGATAAAAGAGTAATACTGCCCTACTAGATGGTTTGACAGTTTTGTGGGAATTGGGTGTTCAGCGGAGCGATGGCACGGTGGGGGGAAAAAACCTGTCCTCCTGTCAAGTTGTCTTGGTGTGCAATGCTCTATTGCGCCATCCAGAGGGGAGAAGTTGAAATATTTTTATGTCCGGGTGGTGAGGACTCTAGATATTTTCTTTCTCCATGGAAGGCAGGCTGGTTGCGAGGGTGTTTTGTGCAGTCCTAACTATTCCGTTGAAGTCCGTACCTGTCCCGTTTCCGTTACTGTGCCAAACCCAACAGTCACAAACCCGCAAATGACACACTCAATAATTCCTCTCGACAACATGATAGCAGCCTTCCAGTAACTCAGGGGCTGCCCCAAAGAAGAGGGAGTCAAGCTATTCTCCAAGGCGCCTGAAGGCAGGACAGGAAGCAACGGATGGAAACTAACCAAGGAGAGAAGCAACCTGGAACTAAGGAGAAACTTCCTGACAGTGCGAACAATTAACCAGTGGAACCACCTGCCTCCAGAAGCTGTGGATGCTCCAACACTGGAGGATTTTAAGAAGAGACTGGACAGCCATTTGTCTGAAATGGTATAGGGTTTCCTGCCTGAGCAGGGGGTTGGACTAGATGACCTCCAAGATCCCTTCCAACTTTATTATTATTATTACCTCCAAGGTCCCTTCCAACTTTATTATTATTATTATTATTATTAACTTTCGACAACAACCGAAGAGAATCTGTAGGCAGAATCGTCCCCCAATCCTTGGATCGTTCTGCCAAGACTGATGGGAATAGTAGTCCAAGTCACCCAGAAAGAACCAGATAGTGGGGGGAAAAAAATCCGCCGTACAGGTAGTCCTCAGCTTAACGACCGCAAATTGGGACCAGAATTTTCGTTGCTAAGCAATACAGTTGTTCGTATGCTAGAAACCTCCCAGAGTCGCTTTCAAACGCGACGGGCAGCCAATAAATTCCATACTAAAAAAAATAAAATTGAGTCGCGACCGATTTTACCAACTTTTTCTTTCTTTTTTTGGACACGGTTGTTAAGCAATTCATTGCTGTCGTTAAAACGAATCACGTAGTCATGGGAACCTGGCTTCCTGCCTTTCCTGTGGGCGGCAAAAGGTCATCCCTTGACCCCAGGACGCCGCAAAATGTTTTGGAAATCCGAGCGTCCCAATTTGGATCGTGTGACCGTGAGGAGGTTGCAGCGGTCATAAGTGCGAGGACCTGGTCTCAAGTTCCTTTCTGCAGTGCCATTGTAACTTGGAGCGGTCACAAAAAGAACGGTTGTAAGCTGAGGACTTCCAGCCACCTTTGGGAAGCAATGGGTGACTGTCAGAGCCCCAGTTGTCCATCTGTTGACTCAGTTTAATAATAATAAAGTTGGAAGGGACCTTAGAAGTCATCAAGTCCAACCCCCCTGCTCAGGCGGGAAACCCTATACCATTTCAGACAAATGGCTGTCCAGTTTCTTCTTAAAAACTTCCAGTGTTGGAGCATTCACCGCTTCTGGAGGCAGGTTGTTCCACTGGTTAATTGTTCTCACTGTCAGGAAGTTTCTCCTTAGTTCCAGGTTGCTTCTCTCCTTGGTTAGTTTCCACCCGTTGCTTCTTCTCCTGCCTTCAGGTTCTTTGGAGAATAGCTTGACTCCCTCTTCTTTGGGGCAGCCCCTCAAATACTGGAACACAGCTATCCTGTCCCCCCTCGTCCTTCTCTTCGTTAAACGAGACATACCCAAGTCCAGCAACCGTTTCTTATATGTTTTAGCCTCCAGTCCCCTAATCCTCTTTGTTGCTCTTCTCAGTACTCTTTCCAGAGTCTCAGCATCTTTTTTGACATCGTGGTGACCAAAACTGGATGCAGTATTCCAAGTGTGGCCTTACTAAGGCCTTGTAAAGTGGTATTAACACTTCAGGTGATCTTGATTCTGTCCCTCTATTAATGCAGCCCAGCACTGTGTTGGCTTCTTTGGCAGCTGCAGCACACGGCTATTCTATCCTATTATTTAAATTTAAATTTATTTAACGGCTGGCTCCTATTTAGGTGATTGTCCACTAGGACTCCGAGGTCCCTCTCACAGTTACTACAATTGAGCAAGGTTCCCCCTATATTGTACCTGTGCATTTGGTTTTTCTTGCCTAACTCTTTCCCTACCCCTTCCTAAGGTGCCGAGCAGCCGGGGAAAGGAGGCAGCCACGGCTACGTCCGCTCGCCGTCGCCCTCCGTCCGGAGCCAGGAGTCCATCCTCCAGCAACGGCCCAGCATCTTTCAGGGGTCCAACGGGACCAGCGTCATCACCCCGCTGGACCCCGCCGCCCAGCTGCGCATCATGTACGTCTCGGGAATTTCAGCCTGGGTTGCCGGGAGGGGGGGATGTAGCGTCTCTAGGATGGCTTGGGGATGGGGTGGGGGGTGAGGTGGGATTGGAGAAAGGCTACAGGCAGTCCTCGACATGACCTTAATGGAACCTGCCTGTTAAAGAGTCGCAGGTTGTGACGGTCATAAACTGGGGTGGACAGCTGATCTTTCTGCCGCGGTCGTTAAACGAGTGCCGTGGTTGTTAAGGAAAACCATTTTCTTGCTCTGGCGCTGTTTGGTGACTTCCAGTTTCCTGCCAAACCGCTCCCTTCCTCCTTTTTTCCATTCCTTTCCCTTCCTCCCTTCCTTCGTCCCTCCCTCCCTTTTCCTTTCCTTTTTCCATCCCCCCTCTCCCTTTTTTTCCTTTTCCTTTTTTCTTTCCTCCCTCCCTCCTTCTTTTTCTTTCCTCCCTCCCTCCTTCTTTTTCTTTTTTCCTTTTCCTTCCTCTCTCCTTTTTCCTTTCTTTTTTCCTTCCTTCCCCCCTCTCACTTTTTTCCTTTTCCCTTCCTCCCTCCCCTTTCTTTTTCCTCCCCCCCTCCCTCCCTTTTTTCCCCCCTTCCTTCCTCCTTCCCCCCCCTCCCTTTTTCCTTCCTTCCTTCCTTCCTTCCTTCCTTCCTTCCTTCCTTCCTTCCTTCCTTCCTTCCTTATCCTTCCTTCCTTCCTTCCTTCCTTCCTTCCTTCCTTCCTCTTTTTCTCCCTTCGATATCCTTCCTCCCTCCCTCCCCTTTCCTTTTCCTTCCTTCTTCCCTCCCTCTTTTTTCTCTTTCTTCTTCCCTCCCTTTTCCTTTTTCCCTCCCTCCCTTTTTCACTTCCTTCCTCTTTTTCTCCCTTCCATTTCCTCCCTCCCTCCCTTTTCCTTCCTTCCTCCTTCTTTTTTCTCTTTCTTCTTCCCTCCCTTTTCCTTTCTCCCTCCCTCCCTTTTTTCCTTCGTTCCTTCCCCCCTCTCTCCCACCCTCCCTCCCTCCCCCTCTGTCTCCTGGTAACTCCTAACCCTGGATTTAAAGACAGCAACCCCGTAGACGCCTTCCCTCTTAAACCCACCCACCCCCTCCCCAGAAGGGACCCTAATGCAGTGATGGCGAACCTTTTAGAGACCGAGTGCCCAAACTGCAACCCCAAACCCACTCATTTATCGCCGGGTGCCAGGTGGGCGTGGCCCACTGGATGGGCGTGGCTGTGGTGGTCAAGTCAGACTGAGTGGGTGTGGCCAAGGTGGGCGTGATCACCTCGATGTTGCTCGTAGGGAGGGACGCCTGTGGGGGCTGGGCAGGGTTAGGGGAGATCTAGGGGGTCTCTGGCAGGTAGGGCGTTGGGCAGGAGTCTCGTCCTGTGGGCAGAGGCAGGGGGCAGGGCGGGGGTTCCATTGTCGCGGGGGGCAAGGCGAGGCCGGGGCGGCTGCTGCCTGACACCATCGGCCCCCGCACACACAGGCCAGCGAGCGCATGGGTGCTGGGATGCATCCAGCCATGTGGGACCTCGGCGAGTTAGCGGGAGGCTGGTTGAAGAGGGACGGTTGCCATCTCCGGGGCATGGTGAGTGTGCCCACAGAGAGGGCTCTGAGTGCCGCCTCTGGCACGCCTGCCATAGGTTCGCCACCACTGCCCTAATGGGTGTCTCTTCCCGGCCTCAACCTCCCTCTTCACAGCTGCAGAAACACCCAAAGGCCTGAGACCAGATTTAACCCTGCAATTTCTCTCTCTCTCTCTCTGCATCCTCCTTCCCTTCCCCAACAGGCAGCTGCCCCCTGGCGCGCCCTCCATCACCCAAGGCCTGCCAGCCTCGCGCTACAGCACCGCAGCCGACGCCCTGGCGGCCCTGGTGGACGCAGCCGCCTCCGCCCCGCAGATGGAGGTGGCCAAGGCCAAGGAGGGCAAACACGAGGGGGGCCGGATAGAGGAGAATCTGGGGCGCAGGGCCACGGTGGTGAGCGAGCAGCTGCCGCCGCAGCCAATGGAGCCGAAAGGGCTGGACGGGGAGAGGAGGGGAGCCCCGGGTCCCTACACCTCATCGGCCTCGGCGGTGTTCTCCAGCGCCAAATCCCAGAATCTGCCTTCTTCGGCCGTCTACTCTGAGGCCGGGAAAGACAAAGGGCCCCCCTCCATCTCTAAGTACGAGGAGGAGCTGCGCACCCGGGGCAAAACCACCATCACGGCCGCCAACTTCATCGACGTGATCATCACCCGGCAGATCGCCTCCGACAAGGACGCCCGCGATCGCAGCTCGCAGAGCTCGGATTCTTCCGGCAGCCGTACGGTCGCTTTCCGTTTATCCGTCTGGGTGGATTTCTTTTTTTTTTTTTTTTTTTTTTTTTGCACCTGGGTGGTCGGTGGGACGGTTTGGGGATGGAGTAATTGGAAGCTCGTTTGCCTACGACAACCCTGTGAGGTGGGTTGGGCACAGAGAGAGAGAGAGAGAGAGAGAGAGAGGCCCCAAATCACCAGGCGGCTTTCGTAGCTTAGCAGGACTAGAACTCCCTGTCTCTTGTCAGCCAGCCACTATCGTGACTAAAGCGGAACTAGAACTCATTGTCGCCTAGTGATTGGCCCAAAGTCACCCAGCCGGCTTTCATGCCTGAGGCGGGACTAGAACTCACCGTCTCCTGGTGATTGGCTCAGAGTCACTCAGCCAATTTCCATGCCTGAGGCGGGACTAGAACTCACCGTCTCCTGGTGATTGGCCCAAAGTCACCCAGCCAGCTTTCATGCCTAAAGGCGGGACTAGAACTCACCGTCTCCTGGTGATTGGCCCAAAGTCACCCAGCCGGCTTTCATGCCTAAGGCGGGACTAGAA